ACCAGCATATGAAACTCAGATAGCAAGCTGGTGAGGAACCGGACACGGTAGCCTCTCGAATGGCCGAATGGCATGTCGAATTCTCTTCAGTCGGATGACCAAAAACGTCCAAGACAAAAAAGGCGAAAGGCCAAGTCGTGGAATAGAAAGAATGTCGAAAGCTACTTTTACTGAGTCGATAAGCACATCAAGAAATTAAAGACAAAGATCCAGTCAAATGTCCAATTGTCAAATTGCTTCAAAACTTGATTGTGTACGCTAAACCTCTCAAGAAATCAAGCACAGGCCTCAAATCAAACTCTTCTGTCATCTTCTCCAGTTAACCTTTCCATCCCGTGACATGTCTTTGTTGTCCATATAACAACTATTCACGAGCAAAGCGCCACCTTTTTGAGTCTTGTGAAACGTGAATGCCATGACGAACCCAGTCGATCCAGAAAATAACAAGCCGAGGGAGTGATGACAAAGAAAGTAACGAGATTGACTGCTAGTTCATGGGCGAGTATGGTTCGAACCCCTTTCAAGGTGACTAACAATAACTGGAGTCATATCCTATCTCTGAAGATAGACGATCATTCCAGTTTGAGAAGGCTGAGCGTACAGTCTACGAAGGCATGAACTAAGCAAGAGACAAAGGCGAACTCTAGGAAAAAAAGGGCTTAGCCCTAGACAAGCACATTCGACGTTTTTCGACATTTTTCGAGTTTCTGGTTCTTTCGACATTTTATCCGTTCCACCATGTCATAATTCGACATTTCCTGCCCTCTTCTATTTTGCCTTTCGACATTTTATGCCGTCGACATTCTTGCGATTCGACGGAAAATGTTCGACCTTCTGCCTCTGAACCGAACGACACATGTAGACAGAGGGGAGGCAGTAATGCTGGTGCAGCAAAACAAGCTCCTCATTCTGCTGAAGCTCTTGGAGGACAAACCAATGAATCTGAATCTGTTGAGCCATTTAAAAACAGGAAGGTCATTTTTATTGAACCGCCCTGCAGCAAAACCGTTAAGAACATCTCCACATTTTTTAATCAGTATTTCTCATCCTGTCTAGAGAAAGAGCGACCCAATATTTCCATATAAGTTTCTGCGCCAGAAGAAAAGCAATCTGAAATCATGGGTGAGCACGTTTGTAGCTTTCATTCCATCGCATGATTTCCCTCTTCCAAATTTGTTTCATATTTCTCGATGCAACTGATATTTCCTCTCGAGATCGTCCGTATAATAACGAGACATGTTAATACATAATAACCATAACATGTATGGTTTACCAGACTACTCTGCCCGTTTTACTTTACCCATACTACCCTGACAAAGGAGAATGACGTTTCTTCACCACCAGATATGTAAAGCACAATCATACTGGCACTGTCCAGTGAAAAAAAATCGGAAAACCAAAGGAAGAAAAAGTGAAAGGAATTCCCTCAACAAGGCATCAAGAGAATTTGCATCAAGAGGAAATCCGGATCAATGAAGTTTCACTCCTACTTACGAAACCCATGCCCATTTTCCAAATTGCTAAACTTTATCCATAAAAATGTGCAATTTAACCCCTAACGCACCAATGCATGATAGTTCCCAGCAAGACTAAAACTTATCAATTTTAAACGGGAAACATTTAGCAAAATGTATAACTTCTGTTCTAAGAGGGATGATGGAAAGACATAGTGGGCGTAAAACCGGAGTTAAAAAAACGATGCGAGAAGAACCNCCACTGACAAAGCTACATTTTTATGTGTGAGGTGTTGTAAATTGCCACAACTGCAGAACATGGGGATCTGAGAATTCCAACATAACAAATGAAATCCAGCATGATGATCCAAAACAAAATGTGTGGTGTGGCTTGTTTCACAAGCAAGTGCTGTACCCATTCTTCAACGCGGAGTACCAATACAGGTAGTGTTTTTTTGTGGATATGTTGGAAGGGTATGAGTACCCACACTTACATGGTGTATGATAATGTTATTTTGCAAATGGATGGAGCTTTGCAAGAGTCGTCTCACCTAGCAAGAGCTGTCTGGGAAACTGTGAACCCGAGGTTTCCATGTCGATGGATTGGTTGCGGTGGTCCAAACCCCTGCCCCTGAGATCTCCAGATTTAACTCCATTTGATTTCTTTTTGTGGGATCATGTCAGACAGGATGTATGCTACAAAACTGGCCAGTGTGGCTTCATTTGCAGGAGCGGAATCTGGATGCCGTAACTACCGTAACACACGGTATGCTGTAAAGAGTATGGGCATAAATTGAATGCCTCTTGGACATTTGTTATGCAACAAGGGGTTTGTAGGTGTTCACAAGGTTCACAACAAACTACGTGAGTTGTACTTTGCAGTAGAAAAAGAATTACATCCGTATTCCTTTTACATTCTGAGATATTTACCTTTCAAGCCCGTGGACCTTAATTGGGGGACCGTGCATTGTATTCAGTTTTCAGAGCCACGGCCCTTGTAATATTCACCTTAGTTACTCTTCCTTTTATGTGCTTATCCCATCATCCTTATTCATAATATTGGCATGTGAGAATGCTCAATCCACTCCAAGTTACTGCCTCTTCAAGTCATTCCTCACCATTGCCATCTTGTCCTCCTGGTGGACTCAATGAAAACACAAGCAGCCGATGATCGCATGAATGAGCGATTCGATGTCCACAAGCACTGTGTAAATAGCAGAACAAGCGGGTTCTTAAATTAAAACAACACTAATATAGATAATATAAACGGAATCGGAACCAGCATATGAAACTCAGATAGCAAGCTGGTGAGGAACCGGACACGGTAGCCTCTCGAATGGCCGAATGGCATAATGTCGAATTCTCTTCAGTCGGATGAACAAAAACGTCCAAGACAAAAAAGGCGAAAGGCCAAGTCGTGGAATAGAAAGAATGTCGAAAGCTACTTTTACTGAGTCGATAAGCACGTCAAGAAATTAAAGACAAAGATCCAGTCAAATGTCCAATTGTCAAATTGCTTCAAAACTTGACTGTGTACGCTAAACCTCTCAAGAAATCAAGCACAGGCCTCAAATCAAACTCTTCCGTCATCTTCTCCAGTTTTGTGTCTCTGGTAATGTCGCATTTCTTTCGTTTTTGTGGTGTTTCCCGCCTGTCCAGCTCAATCCGTCGCTGCTGAACCGTTGACTGCTCCTCAGCGATGACGTCCAGGAAATGGAATAGGGTTGGATGGTTTCGGCCAATTAAACCAACCTCAACTTATTGTGCCATCCTTCGACGTGGTTATTGGTGCGAGGCTCGTGCCTAGGATGCACATCCGGTGCCTCCTTCAAAATAGTTTCTCCCTATGTCACAAGACGAACTTTGGAGTTTCGATCTTGGCTTCTCCAGTTAACCTTTCCATCCCGTGACATGTCTTTGTTGTCCATGTAACAACTATTCACGAGCAAAGCGCCACCTTTTTGAGTCTTGTGAAACGTGAATGCCATGACGAACCCAGTCGATCCAGAAAATAACAAGCCGAGGGAGTGATGACAAGGAAAGTAACGAGATTGACTGCTAGTTCATGGGCGAGTATGGTTCGAACCCCTTTCAAGGTGACTAACAATAACTGGAGTCATATCCTATCTCTGAAGATAGACGATCATTCCAGTTTGAGAAGGCTGNAATCAGTATTTCTCATCCTGTCTAGAGAAAGAGCGACCCAATATTTCCATATAAGTTTCTGCACCAGAAGAAAAGCAATCTGAAATTATGGGTGAGCACGTTTGTAGCTTTCATTCCATCGCATGATTTCCCTCTTCCAAATTTGTTTCATATTTCTCGATGCAACTGATATTTCCTCTCGAGATCGTCCGTATAATAACGAGACATGTTAATACATAATAACCATAACATGTATGGTTTACCAGACTACTCTGCCCGTTTTACTTTACCCATACTACCCTGACAAAGGAGAATGACGTTTCTTCACCACCAGATATGTAAAGCACAATCATACTGGCACTGTCCAGTGAAAAAAAATCGGAAAACCAAAGGAAGAAAAAGTGAAAGGAATTCCCTCAACAAGGCATCAAGAGAATTTGCATCAAGAGGAAATCCGGATCAATGAAGTTTCACTCCTACTTACGAAACCCATGCCCATTTTCCAAATTGCTAAACTTTATCCATAAAAATGTGCAATTTAACCCCTAACGCACCAATGCATGATAGTTCCCAGCAAGACTAAAACTTATCAATTTTAAACGGGAAACATTTAGCAAAATGTATAACTTCTGTTCTAAGAGGGATGATGGAAAGACATAGTGGGCGTAAAACCGGAGTTAAAAAAACGATGCGAGAAGAACCTTAAAGCAACACACAAAACACCAATAGAAAATGGCTTACTTCCAAATGTCATTAGGAAAATATTAAAATAAACGGTAGGGAAGTGCTGTTCACACCAGTCCTAAAGTTTCTCAGGGAAAATATTAACATGTATGAAAGGCACAGGATGGCGTTCTTATTATACTTCTAGGCCATTTACAATGTATATATTCCTCATTACAGATGAGCTCAGGGAGGAAGAATATCATGAATTCATTAAAATTATTGGTATGTGCAACTATTTTTCTCTTCAGATTTACTTCATCAAAGGAAAAAAAGAAATGATATGAATTCCTATTATAGAAAAGGATGGGAGAATAAAACAGGGGAAGATATTAACGAGCTTTGGTATGTTCCATGCTTTTCGTTCCCTCTTGTTACTCACTGACGTGGTTAATGATATAACAAGTATTTCGTTCCATACAGATCAGACGAATCTTGTTGAACGTGGAAAAATACTGAAGAACATCTGTAAGAAATTAATTTTCCTTTTTATGCCCATCCTGGCAAATTCTTTTGTGAGACTCATGCTTTCCCATACAGCGAGAATGAACCCAATTGATCGAGCAAACTTGATGAGAAGCATCGGTAATTTTTTCATTCTTGGCCCCTCCGCCCAGCTTCCTTTAATTAAACTATATTATTTCCTATACAGCGTGCATGGATGAAGATGTTGGTGCGAACTTTCTCAGGAGCATGGGTAAGAAAATTAATTTTCTCTGTGTAGGTTTCCTGCCGCCCACTTTTAATTGAACATAATTATTTTCTATGCAGCGACGCTAAACCCTGTTGAGGGTGAAAGATTACTGACAGCCATGGGTATGAAAGTATAATAGATTCTCCCTTTATAATTCCGCCCCCGCTCTGTCTCTTTTAATTGAATATCATTATTTCCCACGAAGTGGGCATGGACCCTGTCGATAAAGAGAACTTGCTGAGGAGAATCGGTAAGTAAATTGATTGTCCCTATGTCCGCCCCCCGCACCGTCTCCTTTAATCAAGCTATTATTTCTATGAAGCGGGAATGGATGAGGATGATCGTAAACAATTACTGGAAAGCATAGGTAAGAAAACTATTTTCTCGTTCTGTCAGTCCCCCGACCGGCCTCTTTTAATTCATCATTTCCCTTTCAGCGCTTCTGAACCCTCTTGCGGATGCTAGCGTACTAACGGACATCGGTCCGAAATTTGATTATCCCTTTGACAGTCCCTCCGCCAGGGTCTCTCTTAATTATTAACTTCATTATTTCCCATACAGCGGGCATGGACGATGCCGATCGTAAAAAGTTGCTAGACAGCATTGGTAAGAAAATTGGTTTTCTCTTTGCATTTCATCCCCAGGCCATAATTAAACATTATTATTTCCCATACAGCGCCGTTGAAATCTTCTGAGGCGGCAATACTATTGACGAGCATAAGTATGAAACTCGATTTTTCCTTTGTCACTCTCCCAGAGGACGCTTTCAGTTTAATATAATTATTTCCATTGCAGCGCAGCTGAACTATATTGCTCGTGCAAGATTCCTAGAAACCATTTGTATGAAATTTGATTATCTCTTTGCCAATCAGGGTGTCTTTAAATTGAACATTATTATTTCTTATACAGCGCTCATGGACGTTGTCAATCGTAAGCAAGTACTGGAAAGCATCGGTAAGAGAATTAACAATCCCCTCTGTATGTTCCTTGGCCAGACATTTGAAAATTAACCATTAAAATTTCCCATACAGCGGGCATGGAGCTAAATGATCGTGGGAAGATGCTTAGAAGTATGGGTAAGAATATGGCCTTTCACTTTGTCATTCTCCCGGCCTGACATCTTTTTATTCCACATTATTTGATCCCATACAGCCGACATGGAATTAGAGGAACGTGAAGACTTGTTGTGGAGCATCGGTAAGTAATTGATTGTTCATTAGCCATTTCCCTACAGAAATCTTTTAATTAAATCTTATTACCGTATTTCCCATAAAGTGGGGAAGGATGAGGATGATCGTAAACAAGAACTGGACAGCATCGGTAAGAAAATCTATTTTTTCCCTCTCATTCCCCCTGCCGGGCTCTTATGATTAATCATTATTGATTCCCATATAGGGCCGCTGAACACTTTGGAAGATGCTGTAATACTGAAAACCATTAGTATGAATATTGATTTTTCCCTTTGTTAGTCCCCCAAGCAGTCCCCTTTGGATTAAACTTTTTTCAATGCAGAGCGCATGGACGCTGCAAGTGGGGAACAAGTACGAGAAATCATCGGTAAAAAATATTGATTTGCTTTAATCAATCCCCCAAATGGGCTTATTAAATTAAATTACTATTTCTCAAACAGCGGGGATGAATGTAATCGAACGTGAAAACTTGCTGAGGAGCATTGGTAAGAAAATGGATTTTCCTCAGTCAGTCCTCACCCCGGCCCCTTTTAATTAAACATTATTACTTCCCGTACAGCGTGGATGGATGAGGATGATCGTAAAAACGTACTGCACAGCATTAGTAAGAAATGTGATTTTCCCTTCGTCAGTCCCTACCTCAGGGCTCTTTTAATCATTATTTACTATACAGCGGGCATGGGCCCAGTTGAACGTGTAAACTTCCTGGGGAGCATCGGTAAGAAAATTGATTGTCATTTCCCGACCACGCTTCTTTTAATTAAATATAATTATTTCACTTACACCGATGTACCCTGTTGAACGTGGGAAATTACCGACAACTATCCGTATGAAAGTATATTTTCCATTTGTCATTCCCTCTCCTATGCATCGTTTATTTAAAAATTATTATTTCCCATATAGAACCCATGAACGATGGCAGTGGTAAACAGATTTTGGACAGCATAGGCAAGAAATTTGATTTTCCCTTTGTCAGTCACTATGTCCGACCTCTTTAAACTTCTTTCTTAATTTTCATACAGCGCTGCTGAACCCTGTTGAGGGTGGAAGACTAATGACAAACATCAGTATGAAAATTGATTTTTCCTTTTGCCAGTCCACCCAGCCGACTTATTTTAAGTAAACATTATTATTTCCCTTACAGCGTATCTACACGCTGCCAATCGTAAACAAGTGCTGGACTGCATTGGTAAGGAAATTGATTTTGTTCTTGTCAGTCCCTTTGCCCGGTCTCTTTTAATTCAGCAATGTTATTTACTATACAGCAAGCATCGTCCCAATGTATCGTGCAAACTTACTGAGGATCGTCGGTAATGAAATGGATTTTCTTTTTTGCAATCCCTGCGCCTGGCGTATTTTAATTAAAAATTATTATTCATCATACAGCGGCCATGGACTATGGCGATCTTCTGAACTTGCTGAGGAGCATTGGTGA